ATAATAATAATAATAATAATAATAATAATAATAATAATAATAATAATAATAATTATTATTATTATTATTTTTATTATTATTATTATTAAAGTATCCGCATCACATAGTAAACACAAACCCTAGGTGGATATACTTTGATTCCAATGTGACTTAAAATCAGAATTGTTACCCAACAGAAATAATTCGTTTACTTGAGTATATGCTTCACCGTAGTCCAATGCCTCAGTCCTAACTTACTTTAATGTCTGGCTATCATGCCCATAGCGTAACATATATTCAATTTGTGTACACAACAGAGGGATCCGTGTTGAGTTTATGTCCACAAGGAGTGGACGAAAAAGTAGTTAGATAGGTGTATCCTACATAGGTTAGGAAGAGGGATCTTTGCTTTAATTCCTATTTGTATTGGACGAATAGACATTTGAATGAAAGAGTTCCGAGGAAGAGTGAGATGCTCTCCGGAAGGTTAATATTTTACATGAATTGCTTCCATAACTAAGTGTATGTTCATTGTTTACAACTTAAGTGCAATTTTTTTCTCTCCCTTAAATTTAATCATGTGCTGAGATATAGGATATTAGAGCATTTGAGATCGTTAAATATTCTTAATCTGATTTTGAGGGATGCCAGGACAGTAGGAAATATACGTCTTGGTATGTGTTTATGTTGGCTGGTGATTCATTTTCTGCGTAGTGCTAAATAAACACTTGTTACTGCTTCTACCATGGAAGTTGAGATGTGGCGTGTTTTGAGCCATCACATCAGGAAACCTGGTTAAAAAACTTTGTCATAGGGCTGCAAATTATTCCAGAGGTTGAAAGATCCATCAAGTTTTTTTGCAACAATAAATCAATTGTTCTACATTCCAACAACAATAAAAGCTGGCCCAAGTCTTAGTATATTGACATTAAGTTCCTAGCTGTAAAGGAGAGGGTACAAAGTGGTCATATTTCGATCGAACACTTGAGGAAAAAATCTATGTTAGCAGATTTCCTAACTATGGATGTAACACCTATAGTATTTCACGAGCATACTACTCATATGAGTGTGTTACATATTGTGGAATCTTCACTCTAGTGGGAGTATGTGCTGCATTCTTGACATTTTTATTCAATGATATGTAAAGTACTTATTCTGATCCAGAATGACGGTTTGGTTCATGACACTTTGAGCATTATGTTTTAGCACTTGACGATCTCAATATCTTCGGATTTATTGAGAATTGACATGTGAGAACCACATTCATGTAATTTTCATGCCACATGTTCTAGAGTTTTATCTATATCATTCAATCATTGTGATATATGCACTTATTGACAGTTTAGTTGTATCTACATTGTGAAAATTTCTTTAATCCTATGTTGTTGTAATTGATAGACAGATTATTCAAGATCTATAATAATGACCATATTTTGAGCTCATAAGCTATAATGTATTATCAAGACACATACTAATCCAATGGGAGAAAGTTAGATATATTTTGTGATTAAATTTGTGTAATTGATACATTAGGTAGTTACGTTGCTTAGCTAAAATAAGTGATCAAATTATTGTATCAATATATATTGGCCAATAATTTAATTTAAAATTGTGGAATGGTCAAATATGAACTCCCGATAATATTATTATTTGTTGACATAACTAATAATAATAATAATAATAATAATAATAATAATAATAATAATAATAATAATAATAATAATAATAATAATAATAATAATAAACTTATGTTAACTAATCAATAAAATAATTTGTGTCCAAAATAATGATGGGTGGAGTTCTTAAAACTGTGATAAATAAAAATGACCCTCAGAACTCTTCATTAATTGAGAAGAAATAAATCTGTTGCCCCTTCCTCTTCACAAAAGTGTTCTTCATTACATCCGAAGAGAAGAGAAAAGGAATCACGGTCTTTGGAAGAAGTTCAATCCCAAATGAAACTTGAGATCCAATGCAATCAATTGACACGAATTCTTTAGGTATGTTTCCGTTATTCGATTATAATTCTTAATTATAAATTATGAATGCTCCTAAATTAAAACGATGATTTTCGCATAAGATTAAATCTATAACAATATTCATACAAATTAATTAAGAGAGTTAATTTCTTGTATATAGTCACAATTCCTACTCTCGTTATTTACTTTTTTAAACCATTTTTATCTTTTGGAAATAGCATTTGGAAAGGACTGTTGTCAATTTCAGATGGTCTTTAGGCATCGAAAGATTCGATTTTTTAGTTTTTTTTTTTCGGAAGAATGGAGATAAAATAAAACCAAAACCTAAACAACATTTAATAAATCGAATAAATACCCGACCAACCAAACCTCAAAATGAAATAAAATGGGAGAACCCACCTATACGGTGGTTTAGACACACAAACTACCCCTAGACAAGACCACAACCCGTGGAACACCTTGGCTAGACCCAACACCAACAAAGCCTCAAGGACACTAGAATGCTTGAAACTCTTGCCACTCCTTTAAGGCCTCCTTGATCACCACGTCTGGTACCCAAACATTTTGAAACAACAATAAGTTACAGGTCTTCCACAACCATCATAGGATATAAGTGATCAGCTGAATCCTATCCTCGGATGTTCTTGAACCATCAAGCTCACAGACTTGCCACCACAATTAAATATTTGCTTCTAACTAAGAGAGCTTATAATTCAAAACATATAGTTTACGTGATGATTAACTATCACGAATTTGGATTTTATATGGGTTTGCAAAAGCCAGCCGCAACTATATAAGAAGGGGCCTAAAATTGTTTGTCAATAGTTAGACCATCTCCAACCAAAAAACTCATTCTCAAACTCATTTTGCAGTAACTATCACATCAAACACTAATTTATCTCTGTTAAACATAAAGGATTTTACCTATGGTTCACATGCACCATCTACATAGAGTACATTCCCTCAGCTCATGTCTCACCTTTGCAGTACAACATGCAACGTTCATTTTCTCATTAGCATTAAATGCTTAGGGCCTACTTTCTCTTTTAGGGTTTTTCTTCTCTTTAGTATATATGGACATTGTATGGTCTCTAAGATGTAAGCTGACAATACTCAATGGATTCCTTCTCTTGTGTTGCTAATCAATGCACAGTTTTCATGAAACCTTTCATGGTACCAGAGCCATGATCCGATTTTCTTCATATATATAAAAAAAAAAACAAAAAACAAAAAAAAAACCAAAAGTAGGTAGATCTTTTATTTGTTTCTTCTCGAGATCTGAACATGGATACCTCTTCAAGCTCAACTCCCTTCACTATTACTCATTCACATCCTTCTCAGATCCACTCAAGCTCAAATCTTCAAGTCATTCAACCCCAAGCCCAGATCATTACCACAAAGCTATCTGAAAACAATTTTCTCATATGGAAACAACAGATCTTAGCTGCAGTCAAGGGGTATGGCTTGTAGGGTTATCTTTTTGGCACTCTTTCTGTCCCATCGAAGTTCACAAAGAAGGAAGACACAAAGGAATTGGTACTCAACCCAGAATATCTTGCCTATCAAAGACAAGATCAGCTATTAGCCTCATGGCTCTTGTCTTCTGTTTCAAAGAGTCTCCTTGTACTTCTTGTTAGAGTTGAGTCTGTCCATGAAATGTGGAAAACTCTTCAGACCAATTATTCGAGTCAGTCTTTAGCAAGACAAATGCAGTACAAGTTGCAACCCTCCACAATGAAGAAAGGAAGTCTCACTATGAGGGAATACATTAACAAGATCAAGTTGTGCTGTGACTCTCTTGCCTCTACTGGACAGAAAATCAAAGAAACTGATCAAATTCTTCATATCCTAGCTGGTCTTGGCACAGAATATGACTCAA